GCACACACACACAAGGACACTATATTTTCTTTATTTCCTCCAGGGTTTCTTTATTTATGCTGATTTTTTTAAGTCTATCCGGAGCGAGTGGATCAATATTTTTTATTTAACAATCCTGTCTTCATTATGAACCATATTCCTTCAAATGACTGAAAATATATGGAATATATATATGGAATTGGAAAACAAGAAAGTGTGTTCCAGGGCATCAAAAACTTGAAAAATTTCTACCAGATGGAAAGCAAACTGGAATTGAATTACAGAAAGAAGAATAGAGAAACCAAAGAACACTACTATCAACTTTAACAAAGGCAGGAGGGAGTCCAGGGAAGGTCTGGAGGGTAATTAATTAAGAGGGAGCTTTCCAATAGGGAGACCAGTGCACCCTTGCCTCTCCCAACACCCCTGCCCCACAATGGGCTGCCAGTAGCCATTCAGAATGGAAACCCAGAGTCCTGCTTGGTGGAGGTCTCCTAGGATGAATGTTTGGGGCCGGAGAAAGGAGCCAAGTAGAACCTGAGATAACTCCACATATCCTTCAACATTACAGAAAAGAAAGGGAGGGAGGGAAGTAGAGAGAGAAGCAAAGAAAGGAAGCTGACCCTGGCATTTTTCCATAGAAGTGGAATATTTGAAACTGCTGGAACTAGAGAAGCAGTGATGTGTCACAGGTACTTTGTAATCTCCAGGAGAAATGGAAAGGGACCTCCATGCACTAAAAGAAAAGCTACTCACAGACTGGGTCCTGCACAGCCTGGTTGTGAAAGCAATGGTCACTGTAGGCAGGCTGTTGTAACTAGAAGCTAGTATTTACTTACAGACGCGCCGGTACAAATCTGAACAGACCACCAAGAGTGACCCAACATCTTAGGAAAACTAATACTGTGAAAAAGAGCACAAATCCCTGCCAGTAGAAAAACTACAATGAGAAAACAGGGTTAACAAAGGAGAAAACTTAAAAAGTTACTTTACTCCACCAATTCTAAGGCGCATTTGAACGTCTCTGAAAGGAGGATGCACCTTATAATCGATGGTGTCTGACAATCACGCAGCCAGCTGAAGTTCAGGACTTAGGAGCATGAAAATCTCCGGTTGGCATTTTCTGGTAAGAGAAAATACTGCCAATGTTCTGTTACATTTGATGGCGTGAAAATAACATCTCCACACAGAATAGTGTGAGTATGTACCCAAAAGCCAGGAAAAGGCTTCTAGGTAAAAGAAACCATTTTGAAAATTGAATAGTGTAATAACCTTATCATCTTGGCTGAACTGCAGAATAGACATTTGTGAAAATAAAAATGACGTTTCCCCAGCATGAAGGGGCAAATCCTGCTTTGCTATGTCCACCAATCTTAAACCATTACATCCTGATCTTTACTCCATCTTAATCAAACGCCCACACTGAAAGACCTGCCTTAAACCTGACTTCAAAATCTCAATAAATATTTCAGTTTTCTCTTTCCTCCTCTGAGGCACACTCTTAAGGGTAAGTAGCATTCTCCTTTACTCAATCAACTCAGTTTTGTCTTATGAACAGATTGGTTGGTGATATTTTGGGGAGCTAGCATTCAACAAGTTGAATTTAAACTCAGAATAACATGCAAGTATGAAGGCAAAATAAAAATATTTGCCACTCACAGGTGCTTTCTGGAGAAATTACTTGGAGATACATATAGGAAAATGAAAATTAATTTTAAAATGTCAGGCCTGTGAAATAGTAATGAACAAAACCAAATAAACCAAAAAACTTAGTAAGCCTAGATAATTGCTGATTCATAAATAACGAACTAACAGCAATTTGGAATAAAATCCTAAATGACTACAATATGGAGCAGGTAATGGGAGGGAATTAGGATGTGACGCACGTTCTTTGGGGAGAAATTAGAGATATTTATTATTGGCTTTGAAAAAAATACGTTTCATTAAGTGTATTAAAATTTTAAGAGTATTCACTAGAAAAAAAGAAAATGTTTAATTTTGGCATAACTACACTGAAAGAGACAATGAAACTCAACCTAACAACAGTAAGTGAAAACAAACAAACAAACAACGCCAAACCCAAAGCCCAATCGTGGGAACACATACAATAGGATGGCAGGCATGAGTCCAAGCTTGAGGGTAATCAAAACGAAGCTGAAAGTCAGCGCACCAGTCAGCAGGAAATAGCACCTTCAAAGGTTTCTTAAAGAGAGTTTACTGAAGGGGCTCTTCATGGATGAGGGCAGGGTTAGGGAACCAACAGGGATGGTGAGCACCAGGATCTAGCAACAGGGGGCAGTGTCACCACCCCCGGGTCCAAAGGGGCAAGGGGAGCAATGTCACTGGGACCTGCTCAGGGCTGGAGATGTTGGGGAGGGGCCACCTGTCCAAAGCTGTATCTTTAGGTAAAGGAACACAGATTCTGCCAAAACTAGTGCGGCAGAGAGACAGCCTCACATTTGCCCCACACGACTGCGAGCTGGAGGGCACAGGAACCCAGGTTCTACCCGCCATGGACACGAGCACCCCAGGTACGCACAAGACACTAAAGGGCACAGAACGATCTCTGGGGTATACAGACTAATCAGCACTGGTAACAAACACTGATATTGGTAAAAGTAAAACAAAATAAAGGCAAAAATTAAAATGCATTTTTATACTTGATTCAAGGAACATTCATGTGGCACAGAAATGTTAAAAATAACATTATGAGGGCCGGCCNATTCAAGTGCTAAATCATTATTTAAATGTTATCAATTTCCAGAGCTTTATCCTGTCTATTGTTTTTCCTTTCAAATAGAGGTTCCCAAAGTTTCTTGGTTCACTATACCTGTAGTATGTCAGTAATTTTTTCATGATTACCCTACTATCTCCTAATTCCTTGTATTAATGTTTAGGTTCAAAGCAGCTTAATAAATATTTTTGTGTTAATCACTAAGTAGCTTTTAAAAAATATTATACAAACATACTGAAAGAAAAACATTTTTGTTTCATTATCAAATAACCACAATTACTTATGAGATGTATGTGCCTATTGTGTACTGCACAACTTCTCAAATCTTGGAATCAGATTGGATATAGCTAATCTTGTTTCCTGTACCATGTTAATTTTCATTCAATGCTTCCTTTTTCTTGGGGCAACTGTCAAAAACCTAGCTTTACAAGGATAAGAAGTTGCTGAAAGGTAGAGCATGATCTGATGTTAAAATTGTGAATGACTTCAAGCTACTAATTTGCTTGGTGTCTGACAAATGTGTATCCCTGTGAGTCCCTCAAAAGTTTAAACACTTTTGCAGTGTCCTATGAGTTCCCTATGGTCAGTCACCTTGGCATATAATTTGGGAGCTGTAGCCCTAGAATCACAGACACATTCAAAAGAGTCTTATTAGAATCTTCTTTTTCCTAATTTAATTTTATGTGCTTTTTCATTTTCACTTTTAAAGAGAGTTAATAGAAAGATATAATGACATATAAACTTTTTGCAGGGTGATAGTTCATAAACACGGTATATTTTTGGCAATTAAGAATGTATACAGTTATACTTTCTTAGTAAAATAAACATGTGAACATATAATGTCAAGTATAAAATATCCAGGCAAAATATATTCAAGTGGTTTCAGTCAAATAGAGAGAAGCTTTCTACTCCATTTTCCCTAGAGTTTAAAGGAAACTGTCATACCTAAAATAATTTGTTATTAATAATAAATAATTTCTTAAAAATTAGCTTTTCTTGAGAATGAAAGATTTTATGCAGGCAGGACAGTTGTTTTTCTACGAATAGAGAAGACGTCTGAAAAAAATTAACTCAAAATTTGAAACTTCACTTATCACATTTATTATCTATAATATACTTCATTTATTATAGGAATTTTATGCTTGATCTCGTCTCACCAAACTTAGTGGCTCTATTTTTATATAGTTTCATATTTGTATATGAAATACTACATATGTATGAATATAGAGTAATTGACTCTGGGCAGGAGGAAAAGAGTTCTGAGTTAGAGAATTGGTTGGAAATGTTTTCTGATTGGTTTCCCAGCTTAGTCTATTCCAGGACTGACAGCACACAGTGGAAACAAGAGGCTTGAGGTAGAGCTTCTCTCACTACCCATTGAGAACTGCCCTCTGGCTGAATGGCAACAGGGAAAACACAACTATGAGAAGAGTGTAGTCAGTTCAGGAAGGTAAAGCAGAAAAGAACTTACAGTGAAGGGCAGTGGAAAAAGAGAAAGAATGAAGTGCAAGAATGTGGTACTCAAGTTGGAGCAGTTTGCTTAGAATTTCTGCAAAATTTAAACTCACGTTTCATAAAGTCCGTGGTAGAGAATTAATTTACCTAGAGATGGCTACGTGAGAAATTATTTTACGTAGAGTTACAATGTAGATCTACCTACCTTGTCCACTCAAAATCCTCTGCATTGAAGATGTTTTTAAGTAATAAATCTCTCACTAGGTCTCTGCAGTGAACATAAAGGATAAGCAATGCCCCTAGCACCGTTTTCGTTCGCAAGTTAATAGTATCCAGCACGACCAGCTCTGCAACCTCTTCTAGACGACAGAGCACACCAGCATGGACCTTCTCCAACTCTTCTCTTGAATGAGAACTCAGAAAACTTTTGACACAATCATTATAAAACATGATCTGGCTCTGAAAAAGTAAGATATAACTGATAAGTGAAGCATAAATTTTATAAATTAAAACAGATGTTTTCATGAAGTGTATGTCGTGTATGTGTGAGTGCATTTGTGTGTGTGTAAAAGAGAGAACTTACACATTTGTATGTCTTTGAGAGTCAGAGATTGAATTCTGATTAATGCTTGCAGGGGCTTATTCATTGATAAAAGGAAAACTATGTGTCATCAACATTTATACTACGTAAATGCTGTATTCTTAATCCATCATCGCTACGCTAAGTAATAACCTGGGAACAGCAATAACGGTAGAAAACGCTAAGATGGAATTAGTACTGTTTCCTCAGTTGACTATGTTATGACTGCAATCACAGTTTTTAGATGATTAATATAATTTCTGTTATTTGATCCATCTCTGACACTCACTCTCCCCATACATGCCAGAGCTGTTTTAGGAAGTCCACTGGATTAGTGTCAGGCGGACCTGGCATTTAACGGAGGGGGATATGTCAAAAGTCTTCGTTCAGACAAGTGGACCCAATGTAATCACATGTATCCTTAAAATTGGAGAACTTTTCCTGCCTGTTAGCAGAGGGAGATATGACTAGAGAAGAATAGTCAGGGATGCAACACAGCTACCTTTGAAGATGAAGGAAGGGACCTCAGGCCTAGGAATGCCAGTGGCCTCTAGAAGATGGGAAAAAACCCCCCGAAAAACAGGGTCTCTCCTAGAGCCTCCAGAAAGGAATACACCCCTGCTGGCATCGTATTTTAGCCCTGTGAGACCTGTGTTGGCCTCCTAACCTATAAAACTGTAAGGAAATGTATTGTTTTAAGCAACTAAGTTTGTAGTATCTTTTTAATGACAGCAGTAGAAAACTAATACAGTACAATATAGAGATATCCCTAGGAAAATAAGTTATGGTTTATTTTCATTCAACTTTTTATTATGATAAATTTCAAACGATGAGAATGTTGAAGGAATGATAAAACAAATACCTATATACCCACTATCTATATCCTACAATTAACTTTTTGCTATATTTACTTCATCATGTATTTGTTCATCTATCCATCTATCTGTCCATCTTACTTCATGATGCATTTCAAAATAAGCTACACCTATCAGTACCCTTCATAATGATTTATTTCTAAGTCTCTGCCTTCTTGGCAATGTAGCTACAATTAAATACTTATATATCAAAGCAGCAATAACTTACCACAGTGAGGACCACTTGCCCTGGATGAGATACAGCCCAATGAGTAAAAGGTTGGTAGTTCCAGTCTTCAACCCCTTGACTTACAAATCTATAAACAAAAAACGAACTTATATTATTTATTTTAAATCACTGATTATGGCCATTTAATGATCAAGCATAACAAGATCACAGGGGAGCTTTCCATTAGGATCTCTGATTTTTTTGTTCTAATTTAGGTATATGTACGGGACCAAATAGCGTTAATGGTCTTAATTCATGCATAATGCATATCCCTTAAATTCCTCTTTAACATCATCTGCACTTTTCTAATGAGGCCATTAAGTTTCTGGCATGGAAAAACTGTATTAAACTAGGAGATGATACCTATTAGCTCTGAATTTCTAACACTATAATGACAAAATCAGCATTTAAAATAATTTCTACAAGATTGAGTATTGAACTGAAACCAGCAGATGAATTTTCATGGTAAATTCCTGCATTTAGCTTTAAAAATTAATTATAAAGGAGAAAATAGGACTTATGAGAAATATCCACAGGTATTTTTATATAAGACCAAAGTTAATATGTGTCAACAATATATGTTTGATATTGTTATAGTGGGGTTTTTTTCCATACAGAAATTTTAAGTTTCTCTAAGTCAATTTAAGTCAAATTGAATCACTTTACGTTTTTTCACTAGTATGTTTTACAAATTCTCAACACTAAATTTCATTTATTTTCTTCTAATACTTAAATGGCTTTTTTTTTTACTTATCAATCTTAAATTTATTTAACTTATTTGAATATTTAAAGTGAATACTGGTTCTTTTAATTTTTGCTGCAATTGCAAATGCTATTTTTATTATTTTTCATCACTGCCCATGAG